TGTGCTGACCTCTGGTGGCCACCCCAAGGCAGTGCCTGCTGGTCCCTCCCTGCTCTCTGCCCATCAATCTCCTGGACTGGGGAGTCTCAGGGGAGCGGAACCTGGGGCTCTCTGGTCTGAGGACGCAGTGTCTGGACTGTCAGAGCGGCGGCCTCGGGACCAGGTGGAGAACCGCACGTGCACGGAGGGGGGTCAGGGCACTGGGGTTGTGACTCTTCCTCGGCCAAACCTGAGCCTCACACCTGTCACAGTGCCCGCCCCTGAGACCCCCGTGGGCCTGCGGCCTGGGTCACAGAGGGGCCCGCCCACCCAGGGAGGGAACAGCACACTGGGCGGTGGGGAGCCGGGTCCTGCTGAGCCCGTTCCGACTCTGTCCCTGTTTCGGCCCCCACTGCTCCTGGCACTGCCCAGCCCCAGGGTCACCTCTGGAGCAGGCTGTGTCCTCTGGGGGTGGGCAGGCCAGGATAACCGGGGGTCCCAGAGGGGGGACAGGTGGAGCCCAGTGGGAGGGGTAGATCAGCACAGGCTCCACCAAGCACGGGGTGGATCCCTTCACCTGCTCTGTAATCGTCCGTTCCAGGCCTGGCCCACGACTGCACGCTGCAGAGAGGAGACTCCGCAGGGCAACTCCTGACCCAGCGCCCTGGGAGTCTCCTTCCACCCCCTTCCTTTTGCGCACTCGTGTGTCCAATCAGGAGCCCTGGACGGCCGTGGTCAGTAACACAGCTCTGGGCCTGGTGCCAGCGTCCGGTCCTGCTTCTCCTCTCCTTGCCTCCCCTCACAGTGTGCTGTGCTGTGTGGGTCTGGGGGCCCAGTTCAGGAGCCTGGTCCAAGTCCATGGCTTCCCGGGAATTTTATTAAACATCCGGTAAGGCTTCCTGTGACATCATTTTTCCGGCTATAGGAGAAAAGAGGTGGCCTGCTGACATCTTACTGGAGTTATGAACGTCTGAGCACAGAGCCGTGTTTTAGGATCTCAGTTATGGGATCGTTGTTGGCCTTGGGCCCCTGCTGCTGCGACGGTTGGTCCGGGTGCCACTGTGATGGATCAGGGGACATGGGGTGTGGGCGCAGGGTGGAGACTTGGGGCATCAGCACACACTGGGCCCACTCCCCTCGTGTCCTGGGGATGGGAAAGATTGGGCGACACAGGCCGGCTTTGATGGTGTGTGGAGCCTAAATGAGAGTCTGAGCATGCGTTGAGATCTGCTTCAAGTGGGCGTCACCATGCAATCACCCGGACCTGGGAGAGAACAGGGCCGCAGCAGAAGGGAGGGCTCAGGGCTCTCCCCACTCAGGGTCTGAACCCCTGGTTCTGTGGCTTTTCTACCGCGGAGCTCACATTAGTGGGCCCAGAACTGACGGCTGCAGCCTGAGACCCAGAAGGACCCCGGCGGCTCCTGGGTCCTGGTCCAGTGGGCTCCGTCTGTTCTGGTTTCCCACCTCGCAGACCCCGGCCGCTCCTGGGACTTGGCAGCCACCATCACAGGTGAGCCCTACCCTCATACACCCCTGCCTCTCTGTGCTGTGGGTCTGACTCCCTGGAGAACCATTTCTGGAGCAGATTCTGGTTCCTCTGGGGACCTTCTCTGGCACACTGGTGAGGAGAGGGTGGGGCTAGGATTTCTGTGGTTTGGAAGCTTCCATGTGGGGCAGGAGTCAAGGGCCTCAGTTTGGCATTGTCAGAGCAATATTTGGATGCCTGCTATGGACGTGAGATCCAAGATGGTCCACGTGGCTGAGTGTGCAGAGCCCCAGAGCTGCCCCTTGCACAGGCATCCACTGCCAGCTGCCACACTAACGGGGCCGTGGTAGTGGGCGGCTCCTCCTACACTTGCCCCGGGATTAGACCCACCTGCTGGCTGGAAGCCACAGAGGCCTGGTATGCCCCTGGGAGATTCAGGTGTTAAGCATTAGGAATACTTTGTATTGACTCAGCTGGGTCTCAGGGATTGTTGAGCCTGGGCCTGCATTGGTGTGGGGGTTTTATGGGAGAGGAGTTTGGGCACAGCTCGGAGCCGGCCTGGAGCAGATGTGTCCTCCAGAGGCAGGGGGCAGGTCCCCAATCTGTTTCTGCCTTCTCTTGCCAAACACCCGCAGACACCCACGTGTGGACTTGGGGAGCTCTCGGGAGAACAGGTGCCTGCCCAGTCTACAAGGCACCAGGCCGGGCTGAGGGAGTGCGCTCTGGGCTGAGCTGGTGGCCCGGGTGCTTGTGACTCCTCTGCCCAGTGCTGGCAGGAGGGGCCAGGGCCACGGGCAACAGACAGAGGGAAGGAGAAGGGGCTTCCTGGAGACGCTGTGGGCTCTGCTCTGGCTGTGGGTGTGTGGTCCACCCTGGCAGGCTGCAGCTCCTCCAGGGTGGGGGCACACAGCACCGCCCTGGCTGACTCCTGCCCCCCACCCCAGGGTCCTCATCTCCAGAGGGGCGGCCTCGGCCTCTGCCAGCACCCGCACGTGTGTGCAGGAAACTGCTCAGCGCAGGGCACGCCTGGGCCCGAGGCGTCCATGACAGGAGGTGGGGAGCCCAGCACCCTGGGGCTCAGTGCTCTGAGGGCTCCGGGGACTCCCACTAGAGGAACCAGGTGATGTCAGCTCCCAGAATCAGTCTCCTGGACGGCGTGTGGGTGCTGCCTTGGAGACCAGTGTGGAGTGTGCCTCGTCCTCACTGCCCCAGGCACAGGACCCCAGTGGCTTTTCCATCCCCCGGGGAGCAGCTGCTGCCTGGGAACTTGTAGCCCTGTGTGCGTGCTCACGGATGTCCCTGCCTGGTTTGTAATTTATGACAGATGTCATGTCGAGAAATGTGCATGGAAAATCATCAGGACTCAGTGACCATAATGGGCACCTGTGGCCACACACGGGGAGCAGAGCACTGGAGCCTGGACAGCCAGCTTGGAGCCGCGCCCGGGGCCTGGGCTGAGTCCCGGCTCCAGTGCCCGCTGCTGCCACCGACTTGGTTTCCCACCCCCTGAGTCTCTGTCTCTGGCTCTGTTAAGGTTGCATGAGCAATAGGAGCCCCTGCCGTGGAGGGTGGCCCCCATCCCTGGGAAGCAGCCAGAATAGTTCCCAACTCTTCTGAGCTCCTTTATGGTGCTGGGTCCTTAGTGGCCATGGGCAGCCCGGGCGGGGTTCTGGGAGCTGTCAGCGTCTGTGGGTCCTGGGCTGTGGGGGAGCTGGCTCCTTCCTGTGACCCCCACTGGCCTTTCCTTTGTCCTTGCCCCTTCTCCTTGCCTCTCTGTCCCTCCCGTGTTGGAGGCCTCAAGCCTGATTCGGAACTCTCTCTCCCCTTCTTTGTCCTCAGTGAGACCCAGGAGCAGCCAGGCCAGGAATACCTGCACCTCCCAGAGCTCCCTCTTGTTCTCCTACACAGGGAAGCCCCAGTGCCTACTGTGGCTGTCTTCCCTTGGCTGACCTATCAGCTGTACCCCTGCCCAGGACTCCTGCCTCTCTGGGTGTCCCACATCCAGTATTGACCTGACCCACAGCCCCCACACTGGGAAATGGTGGTGGTCATCCTGCCTCCCAGGCTGGGGCCAGAGTGAGTGAGGTTATGGCTGCGAAGCTCCAGCAGGGGACGAGCCCATAGGGGAGTCCTCAGGGCAGACAGAGGCTGTGCTGGGGTCTCCCCCAAGATCCGGGACACCAGGACCTGCAGGAACGTCCCCCCCTTCATGTTGCAGTGGATTCGTTTCTGGGGGGAGGAGCACGGTGGGGGCAAGAGGCACGGAGTCACCACACAGACCCTGGGAGTCAGGTGAAAGCAGGCCTGAGGTAGGCAGACTGCAGACTCGTTTATTTCAGGTGCCACAACAGCTTATATAGCCAAGGCAGCCAATCCAGTCAAGGGGCGGTCTATGCCCTAACCAATCACAGCCTGTTGCCAGGCAGTTTCTGAAGCCATACAATCACAGCCTGTTGGCAGGCAGACTCCGCTGTGCTGTGGTTTTAGTAACCATCCAATCGCAGCCTGTTGCCTGCGGCCATCTTGGCCTGGCCTTCTCAGTCCACCACACCTGCAGGCTCTGTAGGAGAGGTTTCCCCAGCAGGTTGCACACTGTGGCCTGTGGGGTGGGCCAGGTCAGTTCTGTTTGCTGTAGGTTTTGTGTACAGAGTTTGTTGTGCTGACATTTCTCTCTCTCTGTCTCCCTGTCTCTGTCCTCCTCTCCATCTATTTGCCTTCGAATAAGTAAGCAAATCCTTTTAAACAAACAGAGAAGTGAGCAGCTGGGACCTGAACAGACACTGGTACGGGACGCAGGCCCCGTGAGCCGTGGCTTTACAGCTCCGTCACAGCACCGCTGACTTGAGTGACAGAACATTTGATGTAGCGTCGCGATGCCAGTGACACTGCACCATGGTTTGAGGCGATCATTCAGGGGTTGAAGAGAAAGGAGTGGATACATTGAGTCTGCAAAAGGCAAAATTATTAAAGATGCTAAGACTAGAAATGAAAAGGCTTCGAAATATCCTGTAGGGTGTAATTTGAAAACATTAATATCACACTCTTCAACCTAAGAAAGAATTTCTCTTTTTTTTTAAGTGGAAAGGTTCCTGTGCAAACCAGCGTGGGGCAGCACCTGCTGCGGTTTCCTGCTCTGACATCAGAGGGCGCCATTGTGACGTCATGCCCGCTGCCTGCACAAAGCCTTAGGCTGGGCCTGGGTTCTGTCATTTGCCAACGAAGCGTTGTCCCGGGAACCTGGGGCTGGGAACAGCTGCCTTGTTTCCCTTGTTTGGTTTTTGTTCCTCAAGCTGCTGTTGTTTTGGTCAAATTTGTTTTTCCTTTTTCCATTTTGATTATCTTGTTTTTTTTATTTTTTTTATTTTTATTTCCTCCAGCATTCATAGTCTTTTTTCCTTTCTTATAGATTTTATTTGGATATTTCATTTCCATTTGGATTTTTTCTTCACTTTTTTCATTGGCTTTCCTTCTTATTTGTGGTTGTTCTATGTATTTTCTCCCATTTTTGGGTTTCTGGTTTTTCACATTGAGTCCCCCCCCCCTTTTTTTTTAATAAGACTGTGAGGCTGTCTGCTTTGGTTGTTATACAGTTCAGGTTTTTGGGATTTTTTTCTTTATGCTTTATTATTCATTTATTTGTGTTTTCTCACTTTTAACTGTTTCGATAGGGTTAGTCTCAGTTGTGAGTCTAGTTGAGTTCATTTAGTTCCTGTTTTCTGTTGGTGATGTGAGCTGACTTTGTCCATTTTGTGTTTGAGTTCTGTTCATTTGATTTCTGTTTGTTTCATCTTCGTTTGTGCTCAAGTAGTCAGAGCCATGAGAGCTGATCTGTGTCAGCTGCTGGCTCGGGGTCTCCCAGACGTCAGCCCTGCTGACCCTTCCTGGGGGAGCCCTGGAGAGGGAGAGGAATCCGGAGGAAGAATCGGATCCTGCTGCTCCTGTTTGGTCAAATTTGTTTTTTCTTTTTCCATTTTGATTACTTTGTCCTTTTTCTATTTTATTTTGTTTCCTGCCACCATTCATGTTCATTTTGTGTTTTCTCATTTTAACATTTTATTCCATAGAACAGTCTCCGTTGTTGGTGTGGTGTAGTGGATACAGTTCATGTTTTCTGTTGGTAACGGGAGCAGAGTGAGTTTGTTCATTTTTGTGTTTTGATTTCTGTTCATTTGATTTCTGTTGTTGCATTTTCATTTGTGCACCACTCGTCTCCCTTCCTGGGAGCCCCGGGAGAGGGAGAAGAATCCCGAGGCCAGAATCGCATCCTGGATGGGGACTTCCTGGGGCGGGACTGACTGCCGGTCCCCCAAGCCCTCTGTGTCCCCAGTGGCTCCTGCGTCCCTCAGCAGAGCGGGGCAGGAGGTGTCCATGGCGGCTCCTGGGGCCCGAGCTGAGAAGGCTGTCAGGTGGGACAGGTGCTGTCTGCACGGGGGAGGGAGAAAGGGTTTTTACTGTGAGATTCAGCCTGCGGGGGACTCAGCTGCTGCGCCTCTGTGTGCAGGGGAGGGGCAATGGCAGTGCGGGCCCTTCTGTCCTGTGCACAGGGGCTCTGCTGGCCTGTCTGTGGTGGCTCTCCAAGGTTCAAGACCCAAAGAAGCCCAGAAACCTGATCTGCACCAGCAAGAAGACTTCCTGTGGAAGGACCTCTTGGTGGTAAGGGACTCACCCACAGCGGGCGGGGTCACCCCAGACAGCCAGGGTGTCCATTGGCTTTGCATCTGTGTGCAGGAATGGAGCAGGTGCATAGGGAGGGGGGAAGGACTCACACTGATGCCCATGGCCCTCCTTGGTCAGGGGAGAGTGCAGAGGGGCTGCGGGATCACCCCTGCCGGTTCTGGAGGCTCCAGCAGCATGAGCCATCCCGCGTGGGCTGGCTGTGTGCAGCTCTGTACCAGGGTCTAAGGAGGGGAGAGGCCGCGGCAGCTCCTGACAGGCCCCAGGCTGCAGCAGCCGGGGGTCCCTCTCCTGAGACGTGGAGCCGAGGTCTCGGCACTGCTCGTCCTTGCCCTCTGCCCCAGCCCTGGGCCAGGCAGTGTGGCCGAGTGCCTAGGAGCATCCTCACCACCATCCCATCCTCAGGACAGACAGACTGCCCCGGGGTCTCCATGGGAGATGCAGCAGCTCCCACCTGGACAAGGGAGCACAGACGCTGGGCAGGTGGAGGTGGGGCTGCCAGGTGCAGGGAGAACGGTCCTGGGCATTTCTGTCCTTCCTGCAGGCCATGGCTCTGTGCCGTAGGCCCCTGGCCCATTCCCATGGGCGCGGATGGAGGTGAGTGCTTTTTTTCCTCTGATACTCAGACGTCCGGGTCCCGTCCCTCCTGAGAGCCCCTGACCTTCGAGTCGGGCCCTTCAGTCCTTGGAGCCTCACCGTTCCCCCTGGGAGATGGGTGTCTCTGAGGGCCACAGTGGCCCCATGAGTCTGGCACACAAGGTCCTGCATGGTGCCCGACGTCGGTGAGCACGTGAGAGAGGGGACCCGTCTGTGGCTGCCGGGCTCGGAGGTCCCTGCCGTGAGCTGTAGACCAGGCCAGCAGCCGGGGCTGTGCTGGGGCCTGGCAGGGGCGCTGGCATCCCTACAGCTCTGTGCTGTCAGCACCGTGTCTGTCCTCGGGGGGCTGAGCCCCAGGGTGGGCATCTCCTCTGGCTTGGATGAGGCACCTGCCACCTCTCTGCTGGTCTGTGGCCTTGTCACCAAAGTACCCTGGGGTGTCACAGGACAGGAACCAGGGAACAGGCCATGGCATGACAGGGCCCGTGTTCTCCCCTTGTCAGCTTGTCCCTGCCCCAGCTCTCTGACCTCTCTAATCCAAGAGGGCCCTGGGGTCACCAAAGGGTCTACACGGCAGATGCTGGGGCAGAGCTATGTCTCTGGTGACCCAGGTCTCCCCATCTTCCACGGGAAGACGGACTCCAAGACTTCCAGCCTCAGAATCCTTGCCCTAGTGGTCTCCAGGAGTAGAGTGTCCTTCTTCCTCGCTGCCCCAAGGACAGGACCCCGAGCTTCTCTGCCTGCCCCCAGGTCACCACGAGCGTCCACGGGAAGATGGACTCCAAGACGCCCAGCCTCAGAATCCTCGCCCTTCCTGAAGAGGTGTTGAATGTACCTCGTCCTCGCTGCCCCCAGACAGGACCCTGTGGCTTCTCTGGCTGCCCCCAGGAGAAACGATCGACCACCATGAGAAGAACTCCAACACCCCATCTTCAGAATCCTCGCCCTTCCAGAAGAGGTGTTCAATGTCCCTCATCCTCACTGCCCCCTGAACAGGACCTCGTGGCTTCTCTGGCTGCCCAGAGGTCACCACGATCATCCTAAGGAAAATGAACTTGGACATGCCCTGACTCAGAATCCTCGCCCTTCCAGAAGAGGTGTTGAATGTCCCTCGTCCTCGCTGCCCCAAGGACAGGACCCTGTGGCTCCTCTGTCCCCGGGGAGCAGCTGCTGCCTGGGAAGAACCTCGTTGCCTCTGTTGCTGCCCATGGATTGCCCTGCACTACTGCCTCTGTACCTGCATGTTAACCGATTTTTAAGTTTAAAAGAAATCCATTAGGTCAATAAATTGTGGATGGAGAAACATGAAGGCCTCAGTGTGGGTTCGGGCACCTGTGCTCACATACCGGGGAGCTGGGCGCTGGGAGCCTGGAGGAGGCAGCTTTGAGCCGCGCCCGGGGCCTGGGCTGAGTCCCGGCTCCTGTGCCCGTGGCTTCCACTGCCTTGGTTTCCCAGCCCCTGGGGCTCTGTTTCTGGCTCTGTCGAGGGGGTGTGAGTGACAGGAGCACCTGCCTCCAAGGAAGCCCCCGGAACAGCACCAGACTCCCCTGGCTGCTGGTAGGGCTGGTCCTTAGAGGCCTTGATGTCTGGCGGGGTTCTGGGAGCTGTCAGCCATCTGTGGGTCCTGGGCTGTGGGGGAGCTGGCTCCTTCCTGTGACCCTCACTGGCCTTTCCTTTGTCCTTGCCCCTTCTCCTTGTCTCTCTGTCCCTCCCCTGTTGGAGGCCTCAAACCTGATTTGGGGCTCTCTCTCCCCTTCTCTGTCCTCTGTTCCTATCCAGTCCAGGTGGTCGCTGTTCCTCCCCTGACCTGGGAGCCCCGCGGTCAGAGCCCTGGGCGTCAAGCTTCCGGGAGCAGATGCCAGGACCTGGCTCAGGGCTCAGGTTCAGAGACAACTCTTTCCCGGGGCTGAAGGAAGCTCCTTAGCCCAGGTCCATGGAGTGGAGTCCATCTGAGGACAGCATTTTCACAGAGAAATATGTTCACGAGTCAGGCAGCTCCCAGAACTGGAGCAGGTGCTGAGGACCCCACTCCATGACAGGTGTGAGAGCTTTCCTGGACAACAGGAAGTGAGGTGGGGAGATCAGCACCAGGGCTCCAGTTCAGTCCCCACACCTGCCAGTCGGGTACCTCTTAACTGGTTAATTGCTCACTGCCTCATTAATGAACTGGATACCGACACTAGTGCCACCAGCGACAACACAGTGCCTGGATGAAGCTGTTTAGGTTGGGTCTTGGGCCCAGTCAAGGTCCTGGCCAAGTCCGTGATTCCAGTGAATTTATTTAGCTCCTGGTAAGGCTTCCCGAGACGCTGTTCTTCCTTTTAGAGATAGAAGAGGTGGCTGGGTGAGCTTTTAATTGAATTATGAATGTCCGAGCGCAAAGCCGTGTTGGAGGATCAAAGTTCGCGACTCCTTGTTGACCCTGGCCGATGACCTGTGACAAAAGGAACTTCCTTAGGCCAATTACATTGCGTGGTGTTTGAGAAGAGCATAAAATACAAATGATACAAGAATCGTCAGCTCCCAGAACTGGAGCCGGTTCTGAGGTCTCTAGTAAATGACAGGTGCACAGCATTACTGGAAACCGGGACGTGCGGTCCAGAAATCAGCACCATGCTCCAGTTCAGTCCCCACACCTGCCGGTCGGTCACAGCTCAACTAGCTAATTGCTCACAGCCTAATTAGTAAACTCGATAGTGGGCCTTTTGCAGCCCACCACAGCACAGCGCCTGGATGAAGCTGTCTGAGTTGGGTCTTGGGCCCAGTGCTGGTGCCTGGTCCAAGTCCATGATTCTCATGAATTTTATTTAACACCTGGTAGGGCTTCCCATGACGCTGTTCTTCTGTCCAGAGGTAGAAAGGAGGTGGACTAGGTAACGTTTAATTGAATTATCAATGTCCGAGCACAAAGCTGTGTATTAGGATCTAGGTTCTGTGGCTCCTTGTTGACCCGGGCCACTGTGCTGGGATGGTTGTTCCGGGCGCCACCAATGACTGTAACCAGAGAGGCAGGGGGAGCTGGGCCCAGGGTGGAGCCTCAGAGCGCCTGCAGCTGCTGAGCCCGCCCCGCTCTTGGCCCTGGAGGGGAAAGATTGAACGACCCGAGGTGTCTGTGCGTTTCTGTGGAGCCCAGAGCAAGCACCCAGCACCGTGGGGATGTGCCCTCGCCGTGGGCAGCACCACCCAGCCCGCCCAGAACTCGGAGAGAACAGGGCCGCAGGGCAGGGGCAGCTCGGGGCTCTCATGGAGCCTGTGCGTCTCAGTGCTCCCCCTCAGGGCTCAGAGTCCCAGGTCACAGGTGAGCCCCTCCCCCTGACAAGCCCCTCCCCCTGCACTGCTGTCTGTGCCCTGTGTTTGGCTCCCAGGGAACCTTGGCTTGAATGGATTCTGAATCCTCTGGGGACCTTACTGGGTGCACAGGTGCGGGTTAGGTGGGGTCTGCGATTTCTGGGGTTCTGGAAGCTTCCATGTGGGGCAGGGGACAGGAACTCCGTCAGGAATCCTCAGAACACGGTGTGGATCCCTGCTGTGGTCTCTGAATCAAAATGACCCAGGTAGCTGGGGGGACGGAGCACCGGGAGCTGTCCTTGCACAGGCGTCCACTGCCCAGCTGCACACTAAGGGGGCGTGGTAGAGGGTGGCTCCTCCCACACTCACCCTGGGATTAGAACCACCTGCTGGCTGGAAGCCACAGAATCCTGGGCATCTCCCCGGG